AGTCGTAGTAGTAGTAGTAGTAGTAGTAGTAGTAGTAGTAGTAGTAAGTAGAAAGTAGTAAGTAGTAGTAGTAGTAGTAGTAGTAGTAGTAGTAGTAGTAGTAGTAGTAGTAGTAGTAGTAGTAGTAGTAGTAGTAGTAGTAGTAGTAGTAGTAGTAGTAGTAGTAGTAGTAGTAGTAGTAGTAGTAGTAGTAGTAGTAGTAGTAGTAGTAGTGTAGTGTAGTAGTAGTAGTAGTAGTAGTAGTAGTAGTAGTAGTAGTAGCAAAAAAACGTAGTGGTAGTAGTAGCAGTAGCAGTAGTAGTAGTTGTAACAATAGTGGTAGTAATAATAACATTTAGTATTCGTAGCACTACTAGTGGTAATCGTCGTAGCCGTCGTCGTAGTAGTAAACGTAGTCGTAGTCCGAGTCGTAGTCGTAATCGCGTCTTGGAACGATAGTCGAGCGTCTGTGGTGTGCTCTGGTTGGTCTAGTTGATCTGGTTGGTTGGCCTGGCCGCCTCGCGCGCTTGAGAACAATGTTTGGGCGTCAGTAGCTGGACTGGCTGGTCTGGTTGGTCTGGTTGATCTGGTTGGCCTGGTTATATCGCGCGTCTTGGGATGATCCTTGAGTTCTTGCGGATGGTCTGACAAGTCTTGTTGGTTGCCCTGGCTGGTTCCTCTTGTTCGAACACGTAACGGCTCCACAATAAAAGCCGTCGCAAAATTTGAAATAAGTATGTGGGGTTCTTCGGTGGCGTAATTGCTCTGCTGCCTCGTCCACATATGGTGGAGGCATTGTCGAAAAACGTGGGCCAGTAACAAAGCTTCACTCCCCCGGGATAGCCGAAGCCCAGTGGAGGGGTAAGAGGAAGAGGAAGAGGAGGAAGGGAACAAGGAGGAGGGGGAGGAGGAGGACAAGGAAGGAAGGAGGAGGAAAAGGAGAAGGAGGCCCCCAAATACCCACGGCCAAATGGCCGCGCACAGGGGGTAACCCAAGCACGAAGCACGGAGCGGGCGGTCACGTCATTCAGCCAAAGTGAGGGCGGCTCTCAACTCTCGCGCCAGCTGTCGTGACTGAGGTGCCGCAAGGCCCCACAAAGTCCAAAATGAGCCCCCCAAAAGGCTCCCAAACGGTCGCCAAAAGGCCTCCGCAGCCTCACCGTGGATCTTGCCCCTCAAACATCCCAGGGACGAGAAAGCCTGGACACATGTTCCGTCTGCGGCGAAGCGGCATGATCCGCTCCAGCGTGGCAGCGATGCAGGGGCACTACAAGCGAATTGGCCGGCATGCAAGAGGAGGAGAAGACAGCGCCCAAACAGGAAGGACGAACTGGCGGACACCCAGCCAAAAACGAGGGTGGTTCTCCAAACGCTGCTCGCGCGGGCTGTCGTGACGGCGGCCCTTCGGTGCAGCCAAAGTGTTGCCTCGAGGAACGCTGAAATCGCCCCCGGAATGTCCCAGACAAGGCTTCGAGGGGCTGCCCGAAACAAACGTCTGCAGGATGCCCATAAAATGTAAATGGGGATCGGAAAGCAAGGGGGGGAGCCAACCGCAGTAACTAGCAATGCTGCGCCCCAATTCAATCTGGAACCAATTCAAGTAAACGTGATGATTTCCCCTGGACGGTGGTATGACCGAGCTGGATCGACCCCTCTCAGGCTGCAAGAAACGGGGGCATGAAGAGAATATCGAGGGAGAAGAGCACGGCGCAGGGGGGCAAAAGGGGGAGCAGCAACAGCAACGTGAAGTACAGGCGGAGAGGGTAGGCAGAGGGAGGACGACGACGGCGAGAGAACAAAAAGAGGAGGAGGGGGATGAGGTGGTGGAGCGGCAGGGTATCAGGAGCTACCCCTTGTCACCTGACTAGCAACTGTTGGAGTTCAGCCGTCGTCGAGCCTTTCTCTCTTTCATATATGTTGTTCACCCTCCTACTCTTTATGGTTATAATCGCACTCCTCGTCTTCATCCTCATGTCCGCCCCTCGTTGCAAACAGGGCAGCGCACGCAACGGCAGGGGTTGGTTGGGGGGAAGTCGGCCGAAGGAGGTGGCGGAGGAGGGGGGACGAGGACGGGGGGAACATACTTTCTTGTCGTGCTAGCTACATGGCCAAGCTGGCCGAATCCTGAGTGCACGCACGCTCGCCAAGCAACACCGTCGACAGCCCCAAGTCGAGCCGTTGGGCATGCGATGGAAACGAAACTGGCCCTATCAGGCCATGCTGCAGCATCCTACACTTTCAGAGCGGTCTTGAACATCCCTGCCAATTTGCCGTTGACTTCCCTCGGGGGGACCTTTCACTGGCGCACGAAAGCCTGGACCTTGATCATGGCCTCTCGCTGCTGCCGCGTGGTCGGGTTGCTGCTGGCCCTCGCGATGCCGACGCGGGCGGATATAAAAGTGGCACTCTCGAACGGGCCATCAACGGCGGTGATCGCGCCCGGTGGAGCTCATGCCGTGCCCGGCGCACTTGTTCACGAGGGCACCCCGCGCCTCTGCAGGTTGCAGAGTAGCATGTGGACGCGGAGCGTGGCGGCAGGGAAGATGGGGTGGGTGGGGTGATTTGGGAGGCGGCAGAGAAAAAAACTGAGAATGAGGAGGCAGCGGGGGAGGGACGAGGAAGAGGCGGGGGAAAAGGAGGAAGGGGAGCGAGGAGGATGACGAGGGATAAGTAGGAATAGGAGACGGGGTAGGATGAGGATGAGGAACGACGCGGAGAAGGGAGGAGGGAGGATAATAAGGGGGGTCGAGCGGACGAGGGAAGACGAGCATGGAGGGAAGCGGAATGGAGGGGGGGGAGGAGGAGGGGATGAAACGGAACGCATGAGTATTAGGGGGGTGGGATACGGAATTCGCCCTCGCAAATCCTCGAAGGCCAGGCTCACATGCGCGAGCCGCGACTCCGCGGGGCACATCTCCAAGACCAGCTTCATATCGTCGTTGAGCTTGAGGGTGTCGCCGTCCTTCTGGAGCTGGAGCTCGAGGTTCTTGGAGCGCGCCGAATTGGTCGCAGTCTTGGCCAGGCTGGCCACCAAATCATGGACTGCGCCGTTCATAGCTGTGGCTTTTGCCTCCATCAGATCGGCGAGGAAGGTCTTCACCTTGCCGTTGAACTGCGTCGCGTAGTCTCTCTGGAGCTCGGTGAGTTGCTCTGCCAGCGAGCTGTGCACCTGCTGCGCCCTGTAGCTGGCCCGAGTGGCGCTCGACATGGCGCCGCCGAACTTCGCGGGGGCGGCCGACTTAGCCAAACCCACGCCAAGGGACTCAGCGCGCCCCACGCCAAACCCACGCCAAACCCACGCCATTGGCCGCAATAGCAACGACGATGACTTTCATCAGTTGGAGGTGGTCGTCGTAGATTCTGGCCGCCTCGGGCGCCGGAGCTTGGACTTGACGCGGCTGAAACGGCACTCGAGGTTGGGCACGTTGGTCCCGATGAGCTTCTCCGCGGCCTCCTTGGCAGGGACCTGGCTCGCGTCGCCGGGATTCGCCGTCGTCCGTCCTTGCAAGGCGTTGGCGAGCTTGGCGCGCGAGTCAGCGGTCGCGTCAGCGGTGCCAATGACCCCCCTGGACGGGCATCTCCCTGACCGAAGAACGGTACTTCGTCTTGGCCCTGTTGAGCTGTAAGGCCAATGTTCGCAGCGCCTCCGACGACGGCGCCTCGGCAACTGCCTTGTTCAAGACCTCGGCCCACGCCCCAACGACGTGGCTGAAATCAGATGCGGGCTCGCTGTCAACCTGGTCCGTCTGGCCCGAATATTTAGACTGTATAACTTTTGCGCGCACTCGCTGCGCCCTCGAATGCATTGGCGACGGGGGCCCCCTGAGGGTTCACGGCGTACTAGCCGTTCTTGTCCATTCGGCCCCTCGTGTTCGCGCGTGCCTCGTCGGTCACGTCGGCCATCTCCCCGAACTGATTCGCTCGGCGGACGTCGTCAACCATGGGCGGGGCGCATTGCTTCAAGGCCTTCGCGTGTTTGGCAAAGATTCCAATCTTCGGATTCCCCCGCGTCGAACCCGCAATTGCATTGCCGATCGCGCCCAAACACGTTTGGGCGCTGGGATTGAACCGCGCTCCAGCCACCTCTGTGACCTCGTTGTAGACGTCAGCATCGAACATCTCAATCGCAGCATCGATGTCGTCGACCGCCGAAATCACTCGGAGGGCTTCTGTGTGTCTGAGAGCGGTAAAAGCTCACCCAGCTGGGCGCATTCTGGCACATCCCGCGCAGTCATTGCCTGCATCGCGAACTCGATCAGCAACTTCTTCGTGGCCGCATCGCCCAAGATCAGACCGGCAACCCTGTTGACGATGACATCGTTGAAATACTCGACGCGCTGATTGTCAGTTGAGCTGGCCACAGGCAGGGTCGGGCTCAAAGGGTCGAAGCCCTCGGTAGTCTCTGGGGCCACAAGCTGCATAATCATCAAGACCTTTCCGGCTGAAGTTGCCGTGGGGCGACCGTCGTTGCCATCGCCCTTGGCGCTGTCCCAGAGGGCGCTGGCCTCGAAGTGCAAGAAGTTCATGCGGGCGCAGGGCGGAAAGGGGCAGCCCGATCTGGAGAGCCCTTCCACGACGACCTTCGCGCGATCACGACCCAGCTTCACGATGGTGTGAGTCCATGTCTCCTTGGCCAGATCGATCAAGTCCATGTGCTGCTGAATTTTCGACCTGTCGACTCCGTCAACTCTGCCCTTCAACTGCTCCAGCTTGTTTTTTTTTCTCGCGCTGCTTGCCGCCCCCCATCGTCGCCTCCTCGCAGGGCGACCGCTGAGACCGGTGCTTCACTGTGCCTCCTGGGGCCTCAACTTTCTGGAGGTGCTCGATCTTGCTCGACTTTTTAAGGCGTCGGCCAGAAGATCTCAGCCAGCGTCGAGACCTTGTCATCCTGGCTGGAGACATTTTCAGCACCATGCCCGGCAGTTCCGTCGCCGCCGCCCCAGGTCGCAGACGCTTGGCTTTCCGGTGGGGAAGTCGCGGATCTGAAGGAGCGGCCGGCCATCAGCATCACGCGCAATCCTCGGGCCGAGGGCGCCCGAAGACGCCGAGTTCGACGGGCTCGTCACCTTAGGGGAATACTGCCCAAGCGAATCCATGCTACCGACAGGAGTCGGAGTGCGATTGGCCACCTCCTCAAGCGAAAGCAGCCTGGCCCACGCCCCCGCTCCATCTTCGGCCAGCTCCACTGACGCAGCCGCTCGCATGCGCGTGTCAGCCTGGCTCTCGAAGGTCTGGTTTGCCCTCGTGATGGTCTTGCGAAGCTTGGCGCGCTGCTCGGTGTAGACGACCGATCTCGGGAACTTCCGAGCGGCGAATGGGTGCCTCGCTTCGCTATTCCCGTTCCTCAGCATGCGTTTCGCAGGTTTGAGGCCCGCGGCCTTGGGCGTCTCATTGAGCAACTGCACCGCGCCGGAGTAAGCGAGCAGGCCGAACGCGTCCTGGATGATGGCCCCAAGCGCTTTGCCCTTTGTCATCATCAACAACGGACTGTCGTCATGCTCTCCGTCGGGCCCATCCGCCCCAGCGGCCGCGTCCGAGATGCTCGCAACTAGGGCCTCGCCCCCCCCATTTCATCCGCGACGTCCATGGGGTTGCAGTTCGGGGTGTTCCCACTGAGGAACTCATCGCGCGGGTCGCAGACGCAGGCCTGAGCGCGCCCCCGAGCCGCCTCGCGAAGCAGAGTGAGGTCGATGCCCGTCGCGTCCCCGGCCGGGGGCGGCTTTCGCTTGCACAGCGACCAAGGGCAACGCGGCTCCCCCTTTTGCCCGAAGGTGCGGTTGTCAGCAGCGATTCGCCATCAAACAGAGGCACCAGTGTTGTTCGGACGCGCAACTGTTGGTCGGGGGTAGCGGCGCCCTGTTAGCAAGAGGACACACCCCCCTCACCGGGGGGGGGGGGGGGGAATTTTCTTTCCAATATACATTATGCTGTCATAGTCTATCCGGGCGACATTGCGCCCCCGCCGCCCAAACGCGCCACAGTGAGCACGGGCAAACCTCCATGATCACATCAGCAACTCAGCCAGAGCTGCCAACAAACGACGGCAAGCCAAGTCGAGCAGCCTTGTCTGAAGCATCCCCCCCCCAGTAAGGAAGCGCAGGGCCACCGGCGACCCCGCGTCAAACTTCCCATTGCCAGGCGGCCCTTGGAGTTCTCCTTGCGCGAAAAAAAAATGCGCAGACGCCGCCGACCGCCGGGCTCGCAAGCATGCGCGGGGGCTCGGGGGCAGGCCCCCGCGCGACGCGCTTCGCCTGCTTCTCCTGTGCCATGGGGCGGAGAGGCGCGCGAAGCCGACGGGCCGCGTGGCCCGCGCCGGCACAACGTTCGACGCCAAAAAGGCTCGAGACAACAACGCGGCTACGCGCCAATGGCAAGGTCAGGGGTCATTGAAGTTGGGGGCCCATCCTGTAAATTACGCGTTGGCTTGTGATTCGTTCAGTCCCCATCCTCGCGCGGGGTGGGTCTTCCGGGCCCCTCCTTGCTCGCGTGGCCATCATTGTCGCGTTGACGTGCCAGGCCTTGCAAGCGAGGAAAGGGGGCTGAACGACTCAGCCCGACACGGGTGGCGACCGAGCGATTCAACCGTGTGACATGTGCAAATGTGTAGATGCACGGGCCCATGGTCGGCATTTTGAATGCAGCTAAGGATTTGTGAGGTCAGCAGAAATACGAATCCTTTCATCTAAGGTTCCTCAGGATTACCTCTGCGAAGAATTAAGTATTCGGCTGCCTTTTTGTTTGGGGGGGGGCTCTCACGGGCCTCTGAGGTTATCTACCGCCAAATTGGGGGCCTCGCGAATGCTCGACGTGGGCCCAGGAGGATGTGGATCACCCTATGGGCGCGCAACAAAAACAGTTCTGGCTGGGAAATATTGGCATGGCGTCTGCGTGTTGTCGTTTGCTCACCGTTGCTCATGTTGCATGTGGATATATTCGTCTTTGCTGCCAATTCTTCGTCGTTTGATGCCGATGCTGTCTGTTGTCCTTCGCTGTTGCTGCCGCCGCTTGCTGGGGGGGGCCCTCGGGGCAGCGCCGAACAACTGCCCCCTGCCCCGAAGGCCGCCCTGGGGCCGAGAGGGGGTCCCGCACGCCTCTTGGGGCGGCGGGCCACGTTGCTCCCGGTCGCGCCGCGCGGCTCTGCATTGCGGTTTCACCGTTGCCCGCTTGGGCCCGAGAGGAAGAAGGCCCCCGAGAAGAAGGGGGGGGCAGGATGAACAAATCCGTGCGCGTTTTGGTTGGGGGCCATTTCCCTGATTGACGGGCGCTGCGCGCATTCGATTGACCGCGCTCGCGTGGAGTACCTTGCCCCAGGGGGTGGCGCGGTGAGTGGCGGCCCCCCGCTGCGAGTGCAACTGCCGTCGAACAGGGCGCGTCGCGCTAGATTGCACGAACCTTCGGCGCGCCCACAGCTCGCGAAAGCATGGGGCGGCGAAGATGGACAGGGAGAAGGTGGAGGAGAAAGAAGAGGAAACAACAACACAAATATGAAGAATGAGGTCGGGGAGGGGGTGGGCGAGGAGACGAGCGGTAAATCTGCCTCTTGCAGCCCTGAAGCGCCTGGCCGGCCTTTTTTGTTGTTGTTTGTTTGTCTGCTTTTCTTATTATCTCTCTTTTTCAGTTGTTTATTAGTTTGTTTGTTCTTCTTGTTTTTCTTCACCCCCCCCCAGACGCCTCGCCGGGCCCGCCCCCCCCCCCCCCCCCCCCCCGCCCACCCCATCGGGGCGAGGGGATTTCGAACGTGGGGCCAAGGGGCCCCGGGCCCAGAAGGAGGGGGGCATTTTTTCTACATGTTTAAACACTTGCTCATTGCATTGTGACTCGGTGGGGGGCGGGGTGGGGGGCGGGGCGGGGGGTGGGGGGTGGGGTGGGGGGGGGGAGGTGCATGACACGCGCGCGCATCTATATTATATATATATATATATATATAATATATATATAATACACACATATATATATATAGAGAGAGATGAACAACGCACACGTAAACATATACATATATACATACATACCTGCAGCTTGAAACCATGTGGAGATTCCTCCGCCTGCCGCGGCCGGGAAAAAACACGCGGGGCAGACATTTTGGCGCCCGCGGGCGTCTGGGCAATCCCCCCTCGGACGCGTCTGCGCGACGGCCTGAACAGCATGCTCGTCTCGAGAGCTGTTTTCACCAGCCCCCCCGCAGTCGCGCTCCCCAGCGCGATCTGACCCATGCTTGGCTCGTCGCGCGCGAGCCCGCGCAGGGGGGCCGGGGGGGCGCGAGGGGGGGGGGCGGGAGAACGAGCAGCCCAATTAGGCTGGCGCCGTTGCAGATGAGCACAAAGTTTCTTGCGCATTATCCGTGCATATGAATGTGCGCATGCGCTCGAAACTTGTGCGATCTCTGTAGCTGCACGTGCGTGCATATTGTATGATATCTAACCTGCGCTATCAATTTGGAGTGCATGCTAAACATCGTGCTCAGTAAGGTAAGCAGTCGGCCTCTGGAGCCAGCCCCTCCAGTGGCTCAAATTCCACACCGAGCAAGAAGCGACCTGCGCCCCCCCCCCCCCCCCCCCCCCCCCCAACAACAAAAAAAAATATCCGAGCGTCGCTGTGCTGCTTCGCCCAAGGGGTGACATGCAAGTGATCTGGCTGGCTGGGCACGTGCTTGCCATGCTCCAACCATGCAATTAAGAATGCGCACGGCCTACCTTTCCGCGGGTTGACCCGCCTGGCCGCTTCCGAGAGGTGCGTATGCAGACCAGCCGATGTCCTGCACCGCTTGCCATGGCATGCTGCGCTGCAACGCGCGGCTGCGAACCTCCCCGCCCCACGGTGAACGCGATCTTCACTTCCGCGTTGAACGTGCAGAAACAGATAGCATCAGCATCACGCGTTTCGACGCGCGCGCGCGCTGGCGGGGGGCCCACTGTAGGCGGGAGAAGCGGAAGCGGAGGTGGCGGAGGCGCCACAGGGGGAGGGTCAGGATCTACTGGGGGCTCAGGTGGAGGCGGGACAGGGCCAACGTGGCCAGGATCTTCCATGAAGATATCCGCCATGTCGCCATCGCCCCCGCCCCCCGCTGGATCGCCACCTTCGTGGCCACCCCGTGGGTCGCCGCCATCGCCCAGCCCATCCTC